CTCGCTCTCATCTGGATGCTCTCCAGCACAGGTAACTCTACTCACTCCTTAATGCAGGTATAATCAATTTAAGGCTCATTAGAGTTTAATTGAAAATGGAGTCAAAGTAATTTGAGGAACAAAAAAGAAAGATGAAGTAGTTTATAGTGGCAGAGAGAGTTTGATAAATCACCAAATGACTTAAAGATGCAGAACTCTGCTCACTTTTCAGAAGTTGTTTTAACTTTATGTAAAATATGAGCCTCAATTTTCACCTGAAGACTTAAATACTTCTGTTCGTGTTTCATTTGATGATTTAATGACAGCAGAGTGATTTCAATTACATTTGTCCAGATCAATTATTTATTTATATTTATTATTATATATATGTATTAATTTATTTGTATTTTTTCCTTATTGCAGCTGAAGCTCTTCAGTGTAAGCACAGTGACACATCAGACCTAAGGTCTTGTACATCTGCTGATGAGATGTGTGCAACAGTTGCATATCAGAGTAAGCCCTTTTCACATGAAAGTAAAAAATATAAAAATACATTTTAAACTCCTTTACTTTTAGATGAAATGTCTGCTTTATTGGTCTGTGTGTTTTTAACATTTAAAAAAATTCTGCTTAGGTCAGATTGGAAGTGAAGCAAATGCAAAGGCGATCATCAGATCCTGTGTGCCGTCCTCTCTCTGCGCTGGAAACAATCAGATATTTTCATTCAGTATTTCTGACACAAAGTTTGCTGCATCAATTCATTGCTGCGACACAAATGGCTGCAACAACCAACCTCTACCTTGTAAGTATTTTTAAATTGTATTTGAATTATGTATGGATATATTAAACACATAAAATCAGAATCAGAATCAGAAATACTTTAATAATCCCCGTGGGGAAATTACTTACATATTCAGGAGCCCGTTGATGATATTGAACATGTGATGCAATGTCTGTTGTTCACTTCTGAATTATTCTAAGAGGAGTTTGAGGAGATGCATTAAACTTAACGCTTAGTATCACCTGTGATTGGTTCCAAGGGTGGGGTGCATCCCTAACCCCTGAAGTTAAGGTGAGCGTCTCCTTCAGCACCTCATTTATAAAACTCAGCGTAGAGTCCATCCTAAAACATTACACAACCTCTGAATCTACTTACGCAAATGAAGATTCAGATCAAGCCGATAGCTTAGATAGAACAGAACTGCACCAGCTACCAGGTATCTGCTGATTTTATTTTACTGCTCATTATTGAGTTAAAGGACCATTTTGTTTCTGGTCTCAACATACGCGAGCAACACTTCAGGCCTGTAATGATGGTGGTGTGTATGGGCCCACTGATATGGAATTTAAAGTGTACTTGAGGTAAAACTTTATTTTGTTTTATCCTTTTGCAAACAAACTACTGAAGTGATTTCTATAATGTGAAATTGGATTTAAAAGTAAAGTACACTAATTGTTAATTTTTTTATATATTTTATTTTATATTTTCTAAATAATAAGAAATTACACCTTTAAGTATAAACCTGTGTGGCGTTTGATTATTGGAAGTGTTTCACCATTTTCAAGGTTTAATATTCGAGATTTATATTTTGAGTTAAATGGGCAATATATTTGTGTTTGTGAACTCAGAAGAAGGAAAGCTAAGATAATTAACGTAGAGTCTGAGGGTTAATATTTAGGGAACTTAGCTCTACTGTTTCCAGTGTGTGTAAAACTTTGTTGGAGCTCTACACATGGGTGAAAGCATGTGTAGAAATGCACATACTTTACCACAACTTCTTGTGCATAACAACCTTTATTAATGGGGTCCCTCAACGGGCAAAGAACCAATCGCTTACTCACTCATCCCGGTATCTAGGTGGGGATGATATCTGTTTTGACTGCCTCTGCCCCCCCCGTACAGGCAGTCCGGTGCAGGTTAGAGGGGGGCAGGGCTGTAGATGGTTTCGGTGGAGAACCCATCCCATCTTCTTCTGGTCAAACCTTCTCCGCTCCGAGATCAGCTTGGTGGCGTCCAACCAAAACCTGATCCTCCTTATTTTGTCACCAACCACATCTCCCGCCATCTTTCCAACAGACAGTTCTTGGTTTTTCAGTAACCTCTGTGTTTCATACATGTCTCCTGTTCTGTTTCAGACCCTGATTTACAGGTGAAAAATGGCCTGCAGTGTGTC